GAAGTGAAATTACATCAAATTTTGCTTGAATGAATTAGACCACCATCCAAATCTGCGTCCAAAATCTCCTGTGTAAAAAGCAAACTAAGAATGTTTAATCCACTGTTAAGATTGCAGCTGTCAAAATATAAAAAATTAGTGCATGCTTGAAAAGAAAATGCCTTGTTATAAAAATCCTCTGATATCATTAATTAATTGTTTTCCATTCTGATATCTGTTTGCAACATAAATAAATACGGGATTCACTAATGTCTCACCTTAAAAACTGAACTGTCTATCAAAGTTGATTATTTTAGATGATAAACAATTATTTTAATAAACAGTCAAAGTTAAAAATACAGTTTTCATTTGTTAATGTAACCCATGAGCCAAAAACATTGCAATTTTAGGTATTTATGAAAAAGTATGTTATTTCATGATTTTCTATTTTATTTTTAAAATATGTACACACACACACACACACACACACACACACACTCACACACACGTAGATATACATATTTAGTATACACATTCAGTAATGCGCAAATACTCTTATATTGTACACATATTTATTCGTGTAATTGTCAGATTTACCCGCTCTTGTATTTTGCTTGTTATTATGTTATTGTATTTTTGCTTGTGAAGCTCGCACGCAAGAATTTCACTCGCATGTACTGTACCAGTGTACCTGCACATGTGATGTGACAATAAAACTGATTTGATTTTGTTGTCTAGAAATACATTTTCCTTTTCCACTCTTTGGTTTAGTTTTATTTCTTTATTGTGTGCACTAACTTTATAGGTGAACACCATTTAAAACTCTTTTTCTTCAGTAGTTTTCAAAGCTATGTTGGGCCTGTCCAAGAGTCTGTTGCTATCTCTGAGGTGTGTCGGGTGTGTCCGTTTACTGTTCTACATATAAAAGCCTAAAGCTTTTCTGGTGGTCAAGACAACTTCAAACGAAAAGTCAACAGGCAAGATGACCAGTCTTTCTGCTAAGGACAAGAACACAGTCAAAGCCTTTTGGGCTAAGGTGGCTGGAAAGGAGGAACAAATCGGCTGTGATGCTGTCTCCAGGTAAATATGGATTATGACTTATAATCTGGACCCAAATGGACTGCTTTAACGTGCTCCTTTTTTTAAAATATATGTACTGTTAACTCACCTTACATTTTTACCCAGGATGCTGACAGTGTACCCTCAGACCAAGACTTACTTCTCCCACTGGAAGGACCTGCGCCCCGGCTCTGCCCCGGTGA